GAGAAGATCGGCCTACAAAAAAACGGAAAAGATGCTTGTAAAATGATTATATCTAAAGAACAACAAAAAAAAGTAAACAAAGTTGAACACTAATCATATGGTTAGATTCACAATTCAATTCTCTACAGGATGCGTTGCTTTCCTTTTCTTTTTATATCTTTTTATAATCAAAAATTCAGTTTTCAGATGATGAATCATCAGAAAATTAAGTTTTCGAGTCCCATAACTTTGCAACGAAAGGACGTATCGAGTAGAAAATTTTTGTGGAAGTAGGCAAAGTACTAGGCAAAGCACAGGAAAAAATTTGCTCAAGCGAGCCTCTTGTAACCTGAGTTATTATAGAAACATATCTAAACAGGTGATTGTACTTGAAAGTTACGTTTCTCTCATATGTATTTTAGCTAAAATCTTGTATTTTTTTACTAAAGTTTTGTGATTTTCCACTAAAACCTTCCGGTTTTCGGGTAAATTAAAAAAAAACAGAACACGTACATGCTCTATCCGTATCTGACAACTTCGTACCCCACCTTCGGCTCGGATTGCACATTTCTACCCCCTAAGTATACTCGAAATTTTTAGAACAAGTGTTCATATTTCACTTAAGACGGAGAACTAGAGATCTGCACGGGCACGAGAAGCCCCGTGGCCGCATGGCGTACCCATACTGCCCACAGGCATGAACGGGCATGGGCAGGCTCGAAAAAGACACAGACGGGCATGGACGGACACGAACAGGCTTGAAAGACACACAGATGGGCAACTACTTCCCTTCGACAGGCACGGGCTTCTCAAAAAGATATTTTAAATTTTTTGAGCAACAAAATGGAACGAAGATTTAAATTTTTTGTAAATGAAATATAGATAGTTAGAAACATGCTACAGAAAGGGCAACATAATATACACACGTGGACGCGAAATGTTTTCATATACGGACTATTCACATACGAAAAAAATTCACGGACGGGCACGGACAAGTATTCTTAGTAGGGTTACGGGCATGGGGAAAAAAATCTTGCCCGCGCAGATCTCTACGGAGAACGCAATTATGACAACAAATTTACTACAGATATAGTCAATCATCGAGAAGAGTGATACCTCACAAAGTACTAATTCTAGCTCGAACATTGTGGAAACTCAAAAGCTATAATATAATATAATTATATTTTTGATCTTGGATACAAAATAATTCAAGGAAAGAAAATTCATAAATCTCTTTTAAATTTATGGGTCGAATTGCTAAATGTCTTCACTTGACCCTATCTTTACTCTTGCCTCTTCCCAGCTGAATAAGCGCGACATTATCTCTGTTAATGTAAATTGAGTGTGGCTTCGCCCACTTTACATAATTTAGCGCTTTAATTTAACAATGCATTGACATTTCATTTGTCTTCTCTTGGCAAATAGTAATCAACAAACAATGATGCATTGACTTTTCATATCGTATGGGTTTTGTCGTACAAAACCGTCTATCCTGTTTGTCTGTTGATTTAAGCCTCTGAAATCAAGCATTCCTTTATATTATTTGGCCTATCCAAGAAATTAGAATGTCTTCTATGCCCACATGTTTGTTCAGTGTTTGGGCAATTTTATATATTCCTGTATACGGACTCGGAAATGCAGGATAAAAGTATGCTGATGGCATGGGACAGTGCCGATGGGACGATAAAAAATTAACTGGCATACTTCACCCACCAGCACACTTTGATACTGCCGCCAGTACATTTGCCCTATGCCGTCAGGAGAAATGTGCTGTTAAAACGCTTTTACCGTGCCGTTTGATGGCATGTTTTGTGCGTGATTAAAGCACAATTTACTCTCACAGTTTCTAAAGCGTATTTAAAATGTGAAAATCAATACGTTAACAATGGTTTTTCCGTCCTTCAAGATTACTTTTTTCTTCAGTAATCTAGATAAAACATGCTTGATTTCGCCGAATTTTGGATCTCTAGATACACTTTGTGGACATAAACATATTGATTGAGTGACTTAAGTCGCTCAATTATAGCATATTTTTAGTGTGCTTACGATACGTCCTTAGTATGATAGTGGTGCTAAAAAACGTAGCAGTAGAACACTTTTTAGTAAAACGTGGAAGCCAATCGGAGAAAAAAAACCACACTAAAAGCGTCTGCTTTTTGTTAACCGAACGTGCTGAAAACACGGGAAAAGTGTGCTACTTGTCTATATTGAAGATTGAAGTTTGAACTTTCAGTGGCACGCTTTTTCTGTGCTACTTGCAGACTTTTACAGTGCTTTTCCGGGACAGAGTGTATACAGTAGGTTTTCTTTGTTCTAGAAAGTGATACTTAGCGAATTAGCTGAAAAATTATGCAGCCATCGTGTAATGTGTGTAGCACACTGATTCCAGTGCTTGAAAAATGTAAGTTCATCAGACATATCAAGAAAATGTTTAGTTATTCTGTATTGTTCAATAGGTGGATCGATGGATTTAAATGAATCAATTGAACTGGACAAAGAAGATATATTAATATTTATTGCATTTACAAATGCTTGGTCACAATCGTAAGTAAATCACAAAAATATCAATGCTATAATCACGCTTCAGTCTCACACAAGAACCTCTTGGCGAATAAATAGTTATTCTCCAAGAAATAAAACTGCTCTTGTGCTTGGGAAAGTGATAATTGTTTTTCTAAAGTAAAAATACTTCAACGACGCATCATACTTGGTTAGTAGGATAAGCAGTTGTTCCAGCATTTCTTGGGAAATAAATTCAAACAGAAAATGTTTTATTTTTTTTTTAGTCGTTGTTTATGCTTATGTCGTGATTCTGCTACAGTCGAACATTTTTCATCTATTGTTGAATATGTTCTTCAACTCTCTATTCAAATAATACAATCATTTACTGTTGAAAGTCCTGCTAATGATTCTACAGATCCTCAACTAATTTCGTACAGCAATATTTTAACAACAACAGCCGTCGGTACTGATCATTGGACATTGGATGAAAAAGAAAAATTACTTACTTGTGTATCACGATGTTTATCATTGAGTTTACCATTGTATACTAGTAGTCGTATACCGTCTTATCAGCATCACGTTCAGCACTTTCAAGAGCAACATAATTCTGGTTCATCGTCACCATCGTCTGATTTTAAAACATTTTTACAATCGTATGTTAATCTCGATCAACATCATCATTCAACCGCGTCACTCTATCTCTTTCGTCATATTTGTACATTTTGTGAGCATCACGGACTTCAAGCGATTAAACAATGTTTTGAGTGTGTCAAATCTACCCAACAATTACCATTAACTATCGCTCATTGTCTATTTTTGATCTTAACAAATTTAAGACAATTCATAAATCTTGATTTAATCAAAACTTATTTGTTACCATTACGACAGCATGCTATTCGGTATATGTGTATGTTAGACGATAATGAATTACGTGTATGTGGACAAAGGAATACAAATGATTTGTTGTATGCTGCACTCAAAGATCTTTATGTTTCACCTTATCGTCAACGGTCATCATCTTCGACTTCTTCATCCTTATTATCAACAACATTTACAAAACATTTGCATACACAAAATTATCATCATGATAAATTAATACTAACATTAGGTTAGTTTGAAAAAGTCTACTAGAGCGATAAAATGATATATCTACTCGATTTTGTTTTTATTCTATTTCTAGCATTGAAATATTTAACATGTTCAACACTCACAATTCGTTTGACGGGCATAGCGCATATTAATAATCAAATTCAAACATGCCTCGAGTATTCACAATATCGTCATCATCGTAAACATCAATTGTCATGTTGTACACCACAACAGCAACAACAATTATTTTCATTATCAAAATCGGATGAAGAATCAACATCTTCGACACATTCCTCACGTAGTTCCTCTTGTTCTTCTACAACTGCCACTCAACAATCACCAAAAAACTCTTTAACATCGATTGTCTGTCAACCGAAAACAACTATTACAACAACTAGCTCTTGTGTTCATCATCATAAACAGCACAATGAACGAAAACTAGCTAAATGGTTAATTGAAAATAAAATTGTTGAATATTTATTTGGACCAAATTTACATACAGAATTATTGAAACAATGTCAGACAATATTAAATTTTTTAACAGAATATCATTTTTTAACATTTGAGCATTTAGGTAGACTATACTTATCTTGATGACATTTCTGGTATCTTGAATATTATATACCTGTCTTCATTTAGATTTAATATGGTCATGTGTTGGTTTAACACATTGTAGTCGTTATATCATTGATATTTTATTGCAAAGTCAACGTTATTTTAACAGTGATTTACTATTGCATCTATTAGGTTTAATTGAAAAATATGATCGACAATGTTATAATGAACATATTTTAGCTCTAATTAGTATCTTAACAAAATCATACTGGACTCGCCTTTTAATATCATCAACAACAAAACAGCAGCAACAATTAAGACAACGACAACAGCAAGATATGACAAATAAACAACAACAATTGAATCGAAATAATAATCATCATCAACAAATAAATTTAAATCTTTTAAAACGTCATTTTCAACAACATCATCAACATAATAAAAATAAAATGTTAACAATTAAACAAAATCGTCATTCGCCATTGAAGAGAAGTACTCAGAATCATCAGCGTCACAATATAACAAATAAAAACTATTTAATTTTAAAACACACGCAATTTCCGCGAGCACAACAAATAGGTAAGTTATCAGTATTGTTCATGTAACATATTCAGTGTATCAGTTGTTACATCGCTCACTATTAATACACTTTCGTTTTTAGCTCGATCAGAAAGAAAATTGATTCAACAAGAGGCTGTTCTTCGTCGAACATCGCCAGTATATCCCATGACACCTATTCTGAAAAAGAATGTGAAGAAAAAACAACAAAAAAATAATAATGATGAAAATCATGAAGAAATAATTATCGTTGATAATCAAAATTTAGTTACAACAATGAAATCAGATATAAAACAAACACAACAACAACAGTCAAAATTAGAAAAATGTTTAGTTAGTCAACAACAGCAACAGAGACGACAATTACAACCAGATATTTTAAAACCACCATTACAATCGTTAACTAATAAAAAAATTAATAAATTATTAGCATTACAAGAG